GAGTGAAGATATTGCCTAACATAGCCCTAGAAGTCACTATCTAAAGGTAGTGTCTGCAAGATAGGGACTTGAACGTCGTAAACTGGAATAAAAAACACCCCCTAACGTGGCCAAACATAGCTTTCATATTGCCTGACACGTTGGGCCATGTTAAACCCCTATCTCGAAACATGGAATCTATGCTCGGCCACGTTGGGGAGGGGGGGGGCACTTCCGGGGCTATGTTCGGTGGAAATATTGGCCCCTTCCATGCGGTGCGGGCGGTTACCGTCGCGAAGCGACGTGAATATTTTTGAACCAGCTGAGCACTGAAACTCAAATCAGCCGACCGAACGGACAACGAATTTGGAAAACATGAAACATGATAGCTTTAAAATGATACATTTACATTGAAGCTTCTTTTACATTGAAGCTTCGACGTCGCCCAATCGGCCTCTGATTCTGGGATTGTCCTTCCTGAGCACGTCAATGGCATCATCACCGCAGCCACGTGCTTGCATCGCGTGGATCTCTGCCATTAGCCAAAGGACATCAACCCTGGTGGCAAGGCAAGGCTTTGCGCGAGGGAAAACTTAAGACAGGAACTTCCCACCCGAATGCGAAACAATTGGAAGCGGCTTCTTTGAACTGCTAGATGATGGCTGGAGCTTGTATCAGTTCTATTCAATTAATATTGAGTGAAGACCTCCGGAATCAAGCAATACCTCTACAAAAACCGCTTGCGAGGTGTCATTTATCTATACAAACTGTTTTACGTTGGCTTGACTATGGCATGGAAAGCCCCATGCATTCTCTGAACACAGGGAGTCAGGTTGCAGCCCTACAAAGAACCAGCGCCCTCTGTTGCAAGCATTATGTTCGTGATAGGAGGCCATTGCTCTTGGCTTGGAGGCCATCGCTCTTAGCTTGCAGGCCATCGCTACTACCAGGGTGGAGGCCATTGCTCTTAGGTTTCATTGTTTCTTTTTTTGTGATACGCACGACAGACTCTCTGCATACCCAACAATGAGGTTCGTCCAAGGAAGTATGTGGGACTTGTTCACAAACCTCAAACCTCCCTAGGCCTGAAAAACATCTAAAACCCTTACATTGGCTAGGTTTTTTTACAAAGCAGTTGCCGTAAATGCCAAACATATGGGTCACCTACATCACTCCATGGGTATTCACTCCAAGGACAAATCCATGCAGGCAACAAAATCGAGACTGTAGCAATTCAACAGCGACTGCACAGCTGTCTTCTCGAAGTCTAGAATTCCGCCAAGTCATCCGTACAGCACTTATTCTTCAACTTAAACGCAATGAACTCCTTGTTTTATCCTCTTCTCGTTGCACGCCACGGCTCACACACACACGCGCACACACGTTCTCGGTTGAGTCTGACTCTTCAAGTCGACTCTGATAGATTCACACAACCAAAAAAGTCTAGCTCGTTTGACCAAATCGGTCTGGTTGTTAACTGGTGACTGCTGTGAATCCGGCGTCTCGGCTCTCTTCGGAGCAAAACGAGAAAAATAACATCGCTACGCAGCGGAAGTCACGCAGCTTCCAACTCTTCAGCTCCTAACACGAGAACAGAAAGATTTGGGACACTTCAAAAAGGAACAAACATGGAAAAAGAAAATGAACAAATATAAAAGGTGAAACCTCCTTATTTGCCTGGTAATAACGAAAGGCTCAGATGGGCCAATATCAAAGAATATAAGTAGAAAACGAGAATACATGGACAGCTACGACATGCGAATATCAAGGCGGCTTGCGACATGCGAGGACGGCCAGACCTCGGCTTCAAGGAAGCTTCTCTCGGGGGCTAAGCTTAAGTTACGACCGATCAAAAGAAGGGCTCAGGCTTCCTGATTGGGTTCCGAGCTTTTGGAGGAAAATTCACTTTCAAAAAATGAGTTGTCATGTCTTCATTCCCCAAATAATGCCAGTAGCGATGGCCTCCAACCTAGAAGCGATGGCCTCCAACCTAATAGCGATGGCCTCCAAAACTGCAGCTGTAGCTGGAGCGTGCCTTGGGAGCTGAAGCACCTCATAGTCCTCCTGGCTGTCTGGTAAGCAGCTTGTAGTGGTGCGAGCCTGCAACAGGGGAAGGAATCTGCAGAATCCTCTTTAAAGCTGCCGTACCTACAGGCCTACAGGTCAAATCAGAACATGTGCCAATGTAGCCATGCCCTTCTGTGGCCCCCACAGCTCTTGAACTGCTTGTATCTGCTGTGTGGAGAACACCTTGGAACAATCCGGAAGCTCAAACGTTAGTTCGTGTCCTTTGGCTGTATATCTTCAGTTCCAAACCAGCACTACCCAAACACGTTCCGGTGGTTCGCGGTGCACATCTGTGGCCCCGGCAAAATACCTTCGCGGCTAGTCACCGTCTCACCTCAACAGCTAAGGAACATATAGTGGCTCCTTGTTACTAGTAGTACGGCCAGGAGCCCCTAGTAGCGTCCTTGCTCCTAGTAGCGATGCCAGGAGCCCTAGTAGCTACTTGCTACTAGTAGCTCCTTGTTACTAGTAGCTTCTTGTTCCTAGTAGTAATGGCCTCGATGGCCTCCACCTAATGGCGTCCTTGCTACTAGTACCACAGCCCAAAGAGGTCACATTCTGAAGTGCACAAAGCACAGAAGCACTGCCGCCCCAAACCGCACTGCCTGCATTGGAGTAGTACTGATGGATAGAACTTCTCAGAGGACCTGACCTGAAAGGCCACCAACAAAGCCACCATCAGAACTGCATAGGTCTGGTCCAAATGACCGTTTGAACACAACCAATGAGCAATCATGAGCAGCCGGCTCCTTCTTATCCAGGTCTTGAAGCGACCTGGCGCGGCCACTCTTGTCACTAGCCATGGCCTCCAAGCTACTAGTGATGGCCTCCAACCTATATATTAGCGATGGCCTCCAACCTCGAAGCTGCTGAGTTCATAGGGATTTACAATGCACTCTCCATCCTCATGTTGCTCAACGGCTCAACGTGCCAGCAGCTCAATGACACCTCTGCATGACGCAGATTTTCTCCCAGAATGAAAGGATGCATTTGCATGGAGCTCATGTCCGCACTGAGACACTCTCGAAATGGACCAACAATGGATTGGTTAAGAATCAAATCTGTGTTCAAAAGGCGTGATGTTCCGATGCGGCAGGGCCGAAGCACACAAACAACCCAGCGCCTTCATGTAGCTTGTGCGTATTGGCCCAAAGGGAATGCTGTTGGAAGACATATCCTACCACGCACAGGCAGTAACTGGACGGCCCACAAATTGCTAGCCCTTGATTTGACCATCTGATGACAAATGCTGGAGTCCTCGCCACCCCTCGCTGGCCTTGCAATTGACATCTTTTTGAGTCGTCCAAACCAAATTGACATGTTGGGAAAAACGGACTGAAGCTACCTACTAGCCATAGCGGCGGAACGCAGCACCCGCCGAAGCTCAACCCAACATACTAGAACGCTAGACGCTAGAGGAAACATACGCGGATACGTGATGCGGCCCTGAGAATGAAGGGTGTCCCTAGTAGCGCTAGTAGGTTGGAGGCCATCGCTTCTAGGTTGGAGGATGGTGGAGGCCATCGCTAGTAGGTTGAAGGCCATTGCTATTAGTGCAGGCCATTGCCAGTAGGTTGGAGGCCATCACTAGTAGGTTGGAGGCCATCGCTTCTGGGTTGGAGGCCATCGCTAGTAGGTTGGAGGTCATTGCTATTAGTGCAGGCCATTGCCAGTAGGTTGGAGGCCATCACTAGTAAACTTGAGGCCAGAGGGGGTGAACGAAAGCTAGCCGGGCTTCCGTTGGTCTGCTGCTGGTGCTGCTGCTGCTGGTGCCGCTGCTGCCGCTGCTGCGCTGGGCGCTGCTGCGCTGGGTGCTCTGCAGGCGCCGGGTCGTCTGCTGCTGCTGCTGCTGGCGCTGGGTGGTCTGCTGCGGCTGCTGCTGCCGCGGCGTTGGGTATGCTGCTGCTGCTGCTGCCGCCGCTGGGTGGTCTGCTGCTGCTGCTAGTGCTGCTGCTGCTGCTGCCGCTGCTGCGCTGGGCGCTGCAGATGCTTGGTGTGCTGCAGCTGCTTGGTGGTCCCGCTCACCGCGCGCAGGGGAGGTCGAACCGCGGGGGGGGGGGGGGGGGGGGGGTCCATAAGATTGATTTAATCAATTATTTGAGGTTTCTGAGGTGCGTCCACCCCGTCACTTAACTTGCTAAAGCAAGAGCAACTCCAGCTAGCTAAGGCTAGCTTTCGTGAATATTTGTCTGTAGAACACTCAGGTCCGAGCCCTGCCCATGATGGGTCTTGTGATCCACCTTCCTTGGAAACGGCAAAGGAAAAGTGCAATGTACAATGTACATAATACATCATAATGCTGATCCTACAAATTGCCGCATCTATCGAACGTGTTCTACAAGTATTCTACGACCTTTCGAGGTCTCTCGATGCCTTTTCATACTCTTTGGTGCAAACCTGAAAGCCTTCAATGGCAATCAAGAGCTGCTCATTCTGATCAAACGACCTACTTGGCGCTACTCGCACAGCACACTTGGGCTTGCACTACTCTGCGGACCGCTGGGAGACTCTTGTCCCTTGCACACAAGAAGAGTCACATGGGGCAGTGTCCAAATCGTTGGATTGCTTGTGAAAGGACGCTACGAACGGGGCTCCTGGCCTTACTACTAGGAACAAGGACGCTAGGAACAACTGGACTCGCTACGAACGGAGCGATCGGACGCTTACATGATGTTCCGGCTGCTGTTTCGGCGTCATTCCTCCAACGAGCGGTCGCCAACGAGCGGTCGCCAGCGCGCCGTCCGGTTTTGGGAGTCGGGTTGAAAGAGAATCCTGCAGCAGCTTGCAGCTTCCCCTTCTGCTTTCGTACGATGTTCCTACTGTTAATGCTATTGCTTCATTGTTTCCGCGCTGTCCTACAGTAGCTACATGATAATGTCGACTCTGACATCTCTGAAAACGACATCTCTCAGTTGTTATTGCCTCGCCACTTTTGAAGCATCACCTGCCACCCTGGCCACCCTGGCCTCTTCAGCTTCTGTAGAATGTTTTGAGACTCTTTCTTCACGTCGGCATGCCGTGCTTTCGCACCTTCTCGTGCCCTGGCCCGCGTGCAAGCCGGCACAAAGGGTGGAGGCCAACCCTAGTAGGTTGGAGAAGAGAGAAAATGAAAAGGAAAGCTGTGATGTTCCAATCGAAAGCAGCCAAATCTCTGAGTTTGCCGCATTTCAGCCTCGGTCCCTTTGTCTCTTTTCTAGAAACACAAAACTGAAAGGATTCTTTTACAACCAAATTGGCCAAAGGCTAATCATTCCTTTTACCAATTCTAAAAGAAGAAGGAATGATTAACCTTTGGCCATGTGCCACGCAACACGAACTTCACGCCGGTTGTCCTTGTCCCGTCTGTGCTTCCAGCCTTCGATCGAGCCATTCTGGCTGCTCACTGGTGGGCTTCTCTCGAACTTAGCCCACACCAGCTTTGGATTGACAAAGCTTAGCTCATCACTTCAAACCCATCAGCATGGAGTGGTGAAAGCTGAAAAACCATATCTGGTCAAAACTGTTTGCACCCCACAGTTTCTAAGTCTCTATCCACTTGCTCGCAACTCATTGGCGGACCGGTGAAAAGGTGCCATCTGCCATTTCACCTGCAGGCAGCCGGCAGCCGAGGGCGTCGAGCTTGCACAAAGCCCACGGAGACGGCCTGCTGTCGAGCTTTTGCATCTCTTTGATCTGGCGGCAGGCGGACCTGCCAAAAATACATGGTTGAACCAGTGCAGAGTAAGAAACGCGCAAAAGGAAGTGTCAAACAAGGAAAGAATAAAAAGCTCTAAATGTTCAAAGAAAAGGAACAATAGGAAGACGGAAGGTTGGAGGCCATGGCTATTAGGTTGGGGAGGCTCGCTATTGGGTTGGAGGCCATTGCTTCTAGGTTGGAGGCCGTCGCTATTCAGTTGGGAGCCATTCCAGAAACGAAAAAAGAAAGGAAGAACGAAAAGGAACAAGGACGCTACTAGGGGCTCCTGGCCTTACTACTAGGAACAAGAAGCGACTAGGGGCTCCTGGCATCGCTACTAGGAGCAAGGACGCTACCAGGGCGCTCCTTTCAACTCCGCACCTGAGTTCCAGTCTGCCCAGCTTGCAGGGCAGCCATGAGCTCACCTTCACACTTAAACTGGGAGGCCAAACAACTGAAGAGAAAAAGGCATAGAAGACAAAAGGACGCTACGAACGGGGCTCCTGTACATCGGATGTATTGACAAAAGGAAGCAAGAAATGTCTGAAGGTCTAAGACGGTCTAAGGTCCAAGGAACACATACAGTAATTCTAAGAATGGCAAATCCAACGGTCGCCGGCAAACTGATCACCGCGACAAATGACGAGACGCGCACAAATGCTTGTGCCCCCATCTCGATGCGACCTCGCAACCGTCTGCCGTGTGTCGTTTTGGAATTCCTCAGCTACAGCACTTGTCTCATATGATGCCTTAATAGCAAACATTGTTACTACTAGTAAGGCACCTGTTACTACTAGCGTGGCACCTGTTACTACTAGTAAGGCACCTGTTACTACGATGCCTTTGGCGGTTTGCTATGATTTACTACTGTAGCCTTTCAGCCAATCTTTGGCTATTAGCCTGGTGTGTCGCAGGTGCTGAATGCGGCTAAATCTTAGAAGATGGAACTGTGAGGCCTTTGCGGTTGCTTGCATCGCAGGCAACTGCCCACTCGACAGTGTGGCAGCGTCACAAAGGGATGAAAAAACAAAAAGAAAACGTGTCGGATAGAAAGTGTTCCGAGAATCCATGAAATATTATCTGAATTGTCAATCCTAGCGACTACAAAGGCCTCGCAGCTTGCAGTGAAACTCTAAAAACGAGGGAACTGCGATGGAGGCTGGGTGTGTGACTCGACAATGTCCATAATCAGCCGCAAATCCCCTGTGTTTTCGTCCCAAATACTCAAGTCCTGCGAGAAAAGTGTCTTCTCCAATGATCTGCAACTTCCACTGGAACTTCTCATGGAGACTCCATGGAACCTCTAGCAACTTTTTGAGCTGAACGAACTCGAGGTAGGCCTTGCACGCACGCACCAGGTGAAAAGAAAGGAGCGCACAAGGCCCAAAGAGGCCCCTTTGGAGGCTCCGTGCAAGGCGTCAAGTGCGCCTCGCCTCTCGCTGCTCTGTCCGCAATGACGCAAAGGCCTCTGGAATCCCACCGTATTTCCTCAGAAGTGAGAAAAACACATTCGTAACAAGTGCCTTACTAGTAGTAACAGGTGCCACGCTAGTAGTAACTGGTGCCTTACTAGTAGCTTATTAATCTATTTATTTTAATTTAGTTTAATTCTACTGTGGCCTCCAATCTACGAGCGAAAGAAACGGCAAAGGAACACTGATGTGGAAACTTGATCAAAGAAACTTGCACCCCTTCACTCCACCATCCTGCCATAGAATTTCATGCCAGGCTAGATTCCAACCTGCACAAACTTAGTTTGACCCAGTTGCGTTATGCAAGCTAGCCGCAAATCCTGCGCAAAGAAACCACACAACTTCAGTGTGAAAACAAAACTCCTTGGATGCCTGACTAGGCCTTTGGATCGGAGATTAGTTCCACTTGTAAAACATCCGTTCAAGACTATGTTCATGCGGGTCTGGACACCACGCCTGTGCATCCGCACAAGCACAAACTCCAACAGTACACCCCAAACTGTCCACGCAGTCTATCAACTTGTTGTCTTTGACCAATTAAAGACCTGTCACACTGTAAGATATCTATGATACTGGAAGCGCTCAAAAGGGACGAGAAGGTGCAGAAACGTCCAGCTAGCCGAAGCATATCAACTGTCCGCGATTTGAAGACTTTTTGTGCATGTTCTTTGTCCAACAAACCTGTTTGCCATTGGGGGTTGGAGGTCATTGCAAATAGGTTGGAGTCATTGCTTATAGGTTCCTTTTGTGTTCCTTATAGGTTCAACACATCAGAGCTCAGGCCTCCAGAGCTGTTGACGGTGCGAAGAGTCGAACACCATGCTCAAACTCCGTCGTGGATAACTGCGCGGTCAGGTCAGGCGAAGGTCCGAACAAAAGAGAACACACATAAGTAGTAACAAGTGCCACGCTAGTAGTAACAGGTGCCTTACTAGTAGTAACAAGAAGCTATTAGTAACAAGTGCC